TTCACTCCTCAGAAAGTTTTGCTATAGTTCCCCAAATTCTGTAGTTTCATATACAAATTGTTTCAATGACTAATAACCACGCTTGGAGACAGATAGGACCACAGTGTCCACTTACACACACATACAGGTAAGCCAAAATGGCTATCAGCTTAGTGTTTGTCCTTGTCTGGGTCTAAACAAATCCCACTCTAGCTCTTGGTCATGTCCCAGCAAAGCCTTTTGCAGCGTGGTGTGGGTTCCCAGAAAGATGGAGTTAAGGTACTTGCCTCTACAATAGTGATGGTAATCATGAACCAGGGTGGAGGGCAGCAGGTATAGCTGTCGTAGTACCACTTGCGGTCTATCTCTCGTGGCAGGGTCTCATATGCAACATGCCGGATCAGCCTCTGAGAAAGGCTCAGCCCCGTTTCCTCCAGCAGCGCCTTGCTGCACAGCCTCCTGTTCCCCTGGAGGATGGCTTGGCGGAAACTATTCGACCTTTTGTTGCTCATCTGGGTAAAAAGAAAAGGAAGAAACCATGAGAACAAAGCAAGACTCGGCACAACCATCCAGGGTGATTAGTGCCAGTTTGGCAGCGCCAGATCCAGGCAGGCAGGAGAACCACCACCAGGCTGGAGCTTTAGGAACCAAGTCTCAGGATGATCATGGAGTGACCTACATGGGGTGCGAGGAAAACCAGTACCAGGGTCTGCTATTACGATGCAAATAAATGAGTTCAGGGCAGAACACTGGCAAGGCAGAGCAGAGGCTGCCAATACACTTGGCTGAGCTCTCTGGCCCATTCTCCAGCCTTCCATCCACTGTCTTCACCATCGGTTATCATGATCCACAATCCTGTGTCCTTCTTCCCTCATCTCCCCCTGCTCTATCACACTTCCCTGCACTTGCCATCTCTTGGGGCAGAAAATCTCTTGAGAGTAGCAGCAAGTACATTCACAGCACCTAACCCTCGTGTTCTGGTCCTTGTTGGCAGGAGTTAGCTCTGGGCAAAGAAAATTATCCCTTTGTGTAAAACAAAACTGCATGAGCAACAACAAAGCAACAGACTAAGCTGGTATACAGGCTGTCTCAGCTGCTGTAAACTTTGCAAGAGGAAAGGATTTCTTCTTTTAAAACAGTCATCCTCAGAGGGGACAGGTTTCTGAGATGGTGCAGACTTTGGAGGATACAGCTAATTTGTATATGCATTATCATCTTACATGCATAGAAGTAGCTATCTATCTTTCTGAGCATACACTTTCCCAATTTGGATGCATAATTAAAGCAATTGCATATGCAAATTAGGCAGATGGAATTTTATGCCTAGCCTGCTTGGGGGTTAAAAGAAAGAAAAGAAAAAAAAAAAAAATCAGGTCTGAAAGAGCTTGCTCCAAGATTTGGATAATTGCTAATTAGCCCTGATGTCAAACAAACCTGCTGCATTAGAGTCACTATCTGTACTGGTTGAATCTTTGGCAGGAAGGCTTAAAAGACTAACTATGCATAAAGACCACTGTAGGGGGACCTTTTAAAGTAAAAGGCAGCAAAGTGAACATGACAGCCTGGTCCTTCTTCTGAAAGAACTGCTAACTGATCTCAGAAACCACCAGCATCTTCAGTCTCCCAGAACCAAATAAGAGATGACATTCAACAGCGTTGGCTTCCAGTTGTCTTGGATCACGCTGGTTTCGGCTAGTATCCCAGAGACAGCAAAGCTCAGAGCTTATGCTCTCAGTGCCCAGGCAGCTGGGTAATTGTTCCAAGCTGGACCAAGCTGCTTAAAACACAGTAATCATTGCAGGGAGCCACCTCCTGTTAATCACTGGAGGAAGGTGAAGGGGCCATCTGAGGTGATGGCACCATGACCCATTCTCCCAGCAGCTGCCCACCCCTCCTTAGCCTGCCTTTTGCAGCCTGTCCCTCCAAAGTAGAAATTCATCGATGTGAGCAACACTGACAGGCAATTGATCTATTTCAAGTTATTTAAAACTGGCAAATAATTTGTTGTTGTTGTTCTTCTTGAGTTGTTTTAGTGAGAAAAAGGTTTGCCCTAAAAACTCTTTCTCCTTTCTTGGTATTTCTCCTTTGCGCTCTCTTTCCTTCGCTCATTCATAAAACACTTGCAAAAGAGCAGTTCTGGCAAAAGAAGCAGAAAAGGCAAAGGAAAAAAAAAAAAATCTGTCCACAAAAGTCTTTCTTCCAGTCTTCTCAATTCTATCATCCAAAAGCTTTTATCTAAAACTAGGGGAGATGAGGGGAAAATAATTGTAGGTGATCTTCTGTTGCATTAAGAAAGCCCACTCACGTTGAAAGACAGTATTTTCATAGAGAAACATCCACCAGGTGTTAAGACTTTCCTTAGCATTTATGAGACGCTTTTTGTTAAGGTGACAGATGTACCTCCGTTTCAAAAGGTACCTTTAGCCACCTAATGACCTCACTGTGTCCACAGAAGAAAGCTTCGCTCCAGGTGAGTTCAGAGCAGCCTGTCAGAGACGTACTCTGCATGCTCCCTCGCAGAGTTCATTCTGTTCTCTCTGGCTTCGCTCCTCTTGTGGACGAGACTAAATTCAGACTGAAGATACCGGACAGTTGTCTGAAGCTGCTGATATGCTTATTCTACCTACAGTGGTATGTGCAATTTTCCTGCCTACCGCAAAACGGTCAGTGATTTTCCCTGCTGCAGCACTTCAGTGGAAAATATAATCGTTTCCAGGGTCAACCAAAGAAAATCATCACTGTGATTCAGCATCAAGAAGTGCTGACCACCCTCAGCAGATGATCACCTCATCACTGCAGAGACTGGTGAAAGAGATGGGCAGGAAACTCCAAAGGCTGCCGACATTCGTGTCTGTGCTAGGCTCGTAACAGGAACCTCGTAACGCAGGTGCCACTGAACCCATCTGTTATTGCTGAGCACGGCAAAAAGGGACTTGCTCGGTTCAATCGTCTGAATTCAGCACAGCCCCATCAGTCCAGTGTCCTGCTCTGCGTTACTGCTAGTGCTGCCTAAAGAGCTCAAATAACAGCAAAGGCAGTACAAATTCATCAGCATGATGTTTCTGAAGGTGTTCCTCAACATACTAAAAATGAAACAGAAGGGAAAGGTCGTCTTAGTTTTGTTAAGAGCAGAATATTGCAGGATCACTGTGGAAGTCGCACCTCAGATGAACAAAGCCTCTGGCTCTCCCAGGGGAGGTGGGAAGCTGGACCTCACAACACTAAGTGACTTGCCCAAGGCGATACACTACAGTTAGAAGAATCCAGGTTGCAGGACTTCTCTGATCACTAGGCTGCACTGCTTTCAAGCCCTTCTGTTCAGCAGAAAGCTCTGCCCTCCTCCTCCAAGAGAGGAAAATAAACCACAGGACCTTCCACAACCCACATAGAAGCCAAAACGGAAGCTCATGACAATGTGATTTCCTCCAAGGAATGATGAAAGACAGTCATGACTTTGTTCTCTCACCTACCTGTTCTCACACCCCATTATTTTTACAAGGTGTTCCATATTGGTTGTTTCTGGCCACATCTGGATGATAAAATGCCATGAGTTATTTAAACGGGTAACAATAGGAAAGCAGTAAATGTTGATATTACAAGAGCAAGGGAAGCCCTTGGGCAAAATGCTGATAGCTCTCTCAGGAGCACATGTGACTGCTGGAGAAAGACCTTGTACGCCTCAACACACACAACAAGGTTATTTCTGTACACTATGAGGCACTGCCCATTGGCAGCCTCTCTAAACAACAGGTATAGATGTATCACATCAACTGCACTTGTGAGTAGCAAGCACAGCCTCTTCCTCCTAGTTAATTTTTGGTAGACCTCCCCAGATATTGTGGAGGTAGGCACAGAAAAACATACAAATGGATTAAGAGTTTCTAGGGTTTGTCAATACAAACAAAAGCGAATGCCTGAGAAATCATTTATGGCTAAATCAGATATGAGGTCATGGGATCAAAGTGTTCAGAGATGGAAAATACTTTTGAAGTCAACTTCTTAGGCAGCTGGAATCCTGTCCCAGGATAGGCATCTACTGGGTATTCACATTCACCAGCTTTTAGCAAAGATGCAACAAGAAAACTGCCTCCAAATTAAATGGAGCAGGTCACTAACTGCTGCAGTCTTGCAGAACACACAGAGATATCCAGCACCAGATTGTGACACACCAGCAGACTCCTTGGAAGGAACATGACTGGGAAGGAAGAAATGTGACTGGCAAGGAGTGAAATACTCCCTGCATTCACCAACAACAGTAGGTGCTGTGTCAGTGGGAGCCAGATTTCAATTTACCCAGAAAATTAAAAGCCTTTGGTACCCATAATTACAACTCTAACTCTTCAGAGCTCCTGCCACCTCAGGCAGGGACATAAAAATATTTGTCAGGCCTCCTTTAGAGCAGACAATATGGAAAGAAGGTCCAAGTTCTCTCTAAATGCTGTAGCCTTGGCGTGGTTTTATACCTAGATGAGGTAGGGACACACATCATCAGGAGCATATCACATGTGCTAAAAAGCCCCCACAATCCACTAAGATGTAGATGACTGGATGTACTGAGCACCTGTTAAAATTAGGCCTCTCAGTAAGACGACATCCTGATGATCCCCTACCTGCAATCATTGCCCATCACACTAATGAGAAGATGATCTCCAAGAGGCAGCACAGCTGCCTGCTAAAGCTCAAGCAAACACAACAGTCCTGGGCCTGCTCACATAACCCCACAGGCCTTTGGATCATGCTGTTAATCTCAAGCTAGGAGGTGATGGGCATGAGGAGAGACAGAGGATTAAGTCACTATCACTGCTCTCACCAACTCTTGATGAGAAGCCTATTTTGTTCCTCAGACTGACTTCGGAAGACTCAAATCTTCCCAAACAGAAAGTCTCCCATATGGTCACAATTTGCTGACTTGATTTTGGTATTACATAATATTGGTATTTATGAGTCAAGTATTTAATCATCAGCTGAAAGAACACTGGGCCCATTGTTGGCCTGCACATTATTATGGCTCCAGAAGCTCAGGGCAGCCCACCCCACTTCTCTTCATGCAATTGATCTGGGACTTCTTTAATGAGCGTGGTATTAAAGCTGCAGGCAGATGGGTACAGAAAACTGTATGTGGGGAATGAAGGTAGCAGTGGGGAACACCGCATTGCCTTAGTCCTTCGTGCCTGAAAAAAGTTATTATGCAGAGAGAAAGAAATTTCCCTTGCAAAACAGCCAAGCTGACATGACTGGTAACCATGCACTGCCACTTCTGCCCTTTGGTATTACCATACCAAGACAAAACAAGGCTTAGTGCTACAGCTCTGCTCAAAGGATGGGTTTGATACATCTGCCAGAAAGGAACATTTTTTCCTACTTAGATCTGAACCTGTCTTCAACATGGAAAACGTCAAAACTTAGGATAAGAGTCCTTACCATCTAGTGTGGGACAGTGCCAAACTTTGGTAAAGTACAAAGCCCTGCTGTTGTTCAGGATACATGCCAATCTAGAACGAATCTCAGATAA